CCCAGGAGTCCAGACCCCCAGCCCCTCCTCCCTCAGACCCAGGAGTCTAGGACCAGCCCCTCTTCCCTCAGACCCAGGAGTCCAGATCCCCAACTCCTCCTCCCTCAGACCCAGGAGTCCGGGACCAGTCCCTCCTCCCTCAGACCCAGGAGTCCAGGCCCAGCGCCTCCTCCCTCAGACCCAGGAGTCCAGGACCAGCCCCTCTTCCCTCAGATCCAGGATATGAGATCCCCAGCCCTCATCCCTCAGACCCAGGAGTCCAGGCTCAGCCCCTCCTCCCTCAGACCCAGGAGCTGTGTCTGCAGGCCACTCCTCCCCTGACACCTTAAAATCTCTGCCCTTGCCTCACCTGTGCACCCTGGCTCTGGGCCTCATGTACAAAGCGCTGGGCCAGGTCACATGCTGCAGCTCCCCGGGTCCCCATGTCCACGGCCCCATCCAACCCTCGGCCACTCCGAAGCCGCCCCATCCGCTCCTGCAGCCGCCTCATGACCTCATCCCACACAGACTCCTGGATGAGGAGCCTGAGGCCGCCCTGTGAGGAAAAGCGGCATCAGGAGCCGACTCAGGGCCACTGCAGTGGGAGGGCTGAAACTCAGAGACGGCACGGGGTCAGGGAGATGGTGCTCAGGGCCATGCCCGGGGCAGAGGTGGAATCACAGCAAGTTGGTGATCTGAAGAGTGAAGACAGAGGCTGGAAAACGAGGGACACAGACACTCAGAGAAATCAATAGAGTCCCAAATAACAGAGAGGCCAGGCGAGGTAGCTCACGCCTGTAATCCCAGCACTTTGGGAGGCCAAGGCAGGCAGATCACGAGGTCAAGAGATCAAGACCATCCTGACCAACATGTTGAAACCCTATCTTTACTAAAAATACAAAAATTAGCTGGGCATGGTGGCACATGCCTATAGTCCCAGCTACTTGGAAGGTTGAGGCAGGAGAATCACTTGAACCTGGGAGGTGGAGTTTGCAGTGAGCTGAGATCGCACCACTGCACTCCAGCCTGGGTGACAGAGTGAGACACTCTGTCTCCAAAAAAAAAAAAAAAATCAATAGAGACCTAAAGCACAGAGAGGCAGAGAGGCTGGATCACCTGAGGTCAGGAGTTCAAAACCTGCCTGGCCAACATGGTGAAACCCTGTCTCTACTAAAAATACACAATTTAGCTGGGCGTGGTCGTGGGCCCCTGTAATCCCAGCTACTCAGAATGCTGAGGCAGCAGAATCGCTTGAACCCAGGAGGTGGAGGTTTCGGTGAGCGGAGACCATGCCACCGCACTCCAGCCTGGACAACAAGAGCGAAACTCCGTCTTTTTTTTTTTTTAGAGACAGGGTTTCACCATGTTGGTCAGACTGGTCTTGAACTCCTAACGTTAGGTGATCCACCTGCCTCGGCCTCCCAAAGTGCTGGGATTACAGGCGTGAGCTACCATGCCCGGCTAATGCAAAACTCCATCTCAACAAAATAATAAAATGAACAGAGATACAAAACAGAAGCAAACAAAACAAATAAAATGAAGGTGACTCAGGGCCCTGAGGACTGCAGACAGGTGTAGACCGCCTGCAGGCTGTGCGGGGACAGGAGCGCAGGGTCTCACCGGGCCACGGTCGGACCACGCGGCGTCCACCACACCCTCCACAGCCGAGTCCACGTCCGCTGTGTCTGTCAGCAGCAGCAGCGACTCCATCCCCAGCGCCAGGCCCAGCTCCACGCACTTGCCCGCCAGGCTCCGACGAAGGACACGTCCTTCCTAGGGACCCCGCCTAATTCAGCTGCAGGAGGAGCCTTGCAGTCCCCAGCCATGTTCCACCCCAACCCCTATCCTGAAGATACCTCCAGGGCTCCGCAGAAGGCCACCTTCTGGATTGCAGGCTGGGAGGCCAGGACGGGCCCCAGGGAGGCAGGGCCACTGATGACATTCAGGATTCCTGGGAATGAGCCCAGCTCCCCTGCCAGCTGTGCCAGGAGGAGGGGTGTCGGGGAGGCGGGGGGCACGAGGGCCACTACAGTGCTGCCTGGGGAAGTGGAGCAGCTCAAAGACCTGGGAGTCCAGACCCCAGCCCCTCCTCCCTCAGAC